CACTTGCCATAGGCTACACTTGCCATAGGCTACACTTGCCATAGGCTTCTGGTGTAAGCCCGGCACACACATACCGCATGGGTACAGGAAATAGCTTCTTTTATTTTTAATTCAGGAAGTGAACAGATCCACTTCCCTTTCCATGTTCCCAGTGACTGATCACTGTTGCAGCAACATCTGACAGGAGGCTTGCTCTACATGCTGACCCATCGTCTCATGACTACTGCTGAAGCTCTGACATTCTTGGGAGAGCAACTTCTACCATGACCATAGTGGATTTGTTGCAACAATTTTCTGACAAGCTGCCCATTTTGAACCCTGATGTTGAGGAAAGTATTAGGTATACTAGTATGGGGGAGAATGTGGAACCCCATTCACCATGGTGTAACCAGGTTTAAGTTCCTCGCTCAGCAGAGCTCTAAAGTAAAGCTTAACGGTCTTCCATTAAGTTTAGTAATAAGTGAAACTCTACCAATATCAGACTTGAAGAGACCTCAGATCCAGAATATCCAGTTCACTATATAAGCACTAAATATTCAATATCTGTGGACATTTCATCTATATTATAGGTTTTACCATCATTCAGAATAAGATAAATCACAAATATTTATTACCTAACCCTGGTTTTCACTTCAACTTGAGACTTACAAACCTAGCCATCATAAATATCATCACTTGGCTGTCTCTCAGGTACTAGTATTCTTCCCAAAGTCACTAACCCTATTTCCTTCCCACTTATGATAATTCCAGTGGTAAAACCAGTCACTGAAATTTTTCCCTTCCCTGTCTTCTCTTTGTCTAATCACTGCCATTTGACCCCATAAACAAACACTGCCCTGTCTGGTGTTTCTTTCCCAACTTCAGGGTTAGTGACTTATCTTGATCCTTTTATGGTACCATTCCAAAATTTCATTCCATCAGGTATGAGCCTGAACCAGGCAAGTTTTAAGGTGCTTTCAATGGAGTGTATGTATCTCTACTGGCTCATCCCATGTACCTAGACATAAAGCTACTTAATGCAGACTGTCCAGTGGAGGAACATGACAGTCCCATGCCCACTTTGGTCTTAGAGGATGACGGCAGTTTGGTGGTGAAGACATCTTTGACAACAAGTGACCTTCAAATGAGGCTCTTTATGATTCTGATTCCCTTTGCCTAGTGACTAAAATGGGCAGGGCTGGGCTCTGAGGCTTGAGTGTCTCCCTCTCCTTTTTGACACTGGTCCATACTAGGCCATTCCATCATCTGGCAGAACACAGATTCCCAGACTTAATCTGCCACCCAAGGGTTCTTTCCAGCTCTTCTATCTAGATTCAGACAGCTTTATGTTCTCTCCATGAAGAATTCCTGACAAACATGCTAAAACTGAATCTTATCACGTATCCAAAGACAATTTCCTGTTGAGAGAAAGTATGAGGCGAGAGAACAAGTGAGCTGACATCACAAGAAACTGGTGAATGTGGGCGACATCAGGACCAAGGGTCTGCACTGCCATGGGGAGAAAGAGACAGAGAGACAGAGAGACAGAGAGAGAGACAGACAGACAGACAGACAGACACAGAGACAAAGCAACTGTTATGTAAAGAGTCTGGATCCTAATGAATGCAAACAAACTATCAAAACTGCCTTCAAGATAAGTGGACATGCCATGTACTGATAACTGCCAATAAAAAAGAAGTATTAATTCTGTTGACTAAGAAGAGTATAACACAATAAAATGTCCACTTTTCCAGTGCGTGCTACATCTGTGGTGATATAATGCTGACATTGTATATTTGTTCTCAAAACACTTGCAAAACAAAGACGAAAGATAGATGAACAAACAATAACAAGTTGTAACAACAAGTGAATCTGAGTGTTGAGAATAACAGACTTCCTTACACTAGTCTCTCTACACTAAATACATTGGAAAATTCCAGAACAAAATAAAAAGTTGTATTCCCTGGGCTAAATCCTGCATTAAAAAAAATTTTTTTAAAGCTGTATTCTAAATTCTTTTTTCTTATTCTACAAAATAAGTTAGTCTGAGTTTTAACTACGGTCACAAAGATGCTGTACTAAGACGCCTTCGACGGTTCATTTTTAAGATGCTGAGTAATAGAAGATTGCCATAAAAGCCTCACACTAGTTTAGATTTCTGGCTAATACTTGGGTGACACATTTGAGTTAGTTTCCATGCCATGCCTGCTATCTCTGCCTCTATCAGCAAAACCTGAGAGCTCTTCTTAGCCATGGACTGTGGTTAGGTACACTCCTGACTCTGAGTAACCACAGATCACCAACTCAGGACTTGAAGGGCTGAGTGGAGATGCCGACACCCTCACAGAGGCACAGCACTAGAACAAGGGAGGGAAAGCAGCCCCTGGATGCAAGGCTTATCTTCAGAATTCACATCTTTCTACTTCTTTGCAGCAACTTTATCAATATACATATTCTTTCAAGAACTGAACTGCAGCTAGATGGTGCTGGCAAACACCTTTAATCCCAGCATTTGGGAGGCAGAAACAGACAAATTCCTGTAAGTTTGAGGCCAGCCTGGTCTATAGAGCTAGTTGCAGGACAGCCAGGGTTACTCAAAGAAACCCTGTCTTAGAAAAAAAAAAATCAAACAAACAGAGTTGAACTGCACTTAGGTGTGTATCACAATTGTTAAGATTACAGTATAAAACATTTTGTTTATCAACTAGACTCTTATCAAGAGTTGTGGACTCTCAATAACACAGTATTTCCAAATATTAAATAGATTAAAGAATGAATTCTATAATCTGGGCAGGGCAAGTTGATTTTGGGAAGCTTTCACAAAGGATAAAAACAGGATGTGAGGCTGGCTTCGTGGGAAGGACTGAGGAACAGCAAGAGAGGGTTCAGAGAAGAAGGGCTGCTGATAAGGTTCTGTACTTGGGACATCTGCTCTCCAGAGTTCAGTGAACCTTGGACAGAGTCAGGAAAGTAACCAGCCATCTCTGTGAGAACGTCCGATAAGTACGGGAAGAGAGAAAGTATAAAGGGAAACCAAAAGGACCTCGAACTCCTATCTTAAAGACTCCATTAACAACACCCAGAGTGAACACTGAAGTCCCCTCTCCAAAGCCTCTCTGAGAGGATGACTTCTTTGGCAGGAAAAGACTTAAAAAAGGATGAAACCAAAGGCAACTGGCTATCTCAGCACAGGGTTCAATGCAGATAAATGATCTCAAAGTATAGTATTTTTTATTTTGTATTTATAATATACATTAAATATATTAAATCTATGTTTTATATGTTTACATTTAATATATATTAAAAATCAAGAAATCAAGGCAAGAACTTAGCCTTTTTTTCTTTCTTATTGTACTACTAAAGAGCTTTAATGTGTTAAGGAATTAAGTCTTCTTTTCCTATTTGATGACATTCTAAAAGCTTTTCTAGCTAAAAAATCTTTTCCAAGGTAACAGTTACTTGATTCTGGGAATAAAGGACAAGTTCAAAAACTTCTGGGCTACAGGAAAACAGATGCACGGGCCCCACACTCTTCCCAAGAACAGTGTCATACGAATCAGCAGAGGTCTGCCAGGGGCCGGAGGTGTGCTTGTCTTGCTCTGCTGAAACGATTGATGGCAAGATGGAAAAGAAAAAGTGCCAGGGGAAGCAGCTTTCTGTCTCAGCGGAGGAGAACACACCCAGAGCTGCACTGAAGGAGAACATATTTAATAGTCTGGCAGAAAGCAAAGAGCTCCACCCCCATGCAAAGATCCCATTTGTTCTGAGCTGGGAGGAGTTGGCAAGGCTAAGGAATTCTGAGAAGGGTGTGGCTGTCTAGTCCTATAGTTTAGGGACATTCCCAGATGAAAGTGAGTCTGAATCAGTTTTCATCTTTGCCTTGGTCTAAGATCCCCAGGGCACGAGGAGAAACAAACAAAAATGGGAAATGACAGGGAGGAGTAGTTTACCTTCGGAGAACAGTTGAAATGCATGCCAGGTACTGGGAGTGTAGTTACATACATTGTAATACACCGATACAGGTACAGCGTGCCAACTATGCAGAAAAATCTTCTGCTAATAATAGACCTAGAAAAAGGGAAAAACAGGGCAGATTCTCAGTCAAGAAATTCCGCAGGTTCATTTACTCAAAGTTTTCAATGACCCAACAAAACAAACCCAGAAATCTAATCAAGAGCTTGAAATCAGAATGGTACAAGCATCACTAGCAAAAGACCTGGACAGGGCATTTTAGACTAGTGTCAGTTGCGCTTTATTTAAAAAAAAAAAAAAAAGAAGTGCTGTTAACTGGCTAAAAGGAATCACAGTGATCCACAGTGCCCCAAACTAGGCTTTACAGGCCTTAAATCTGAGTTGTCACTCAACTGATGGACAAGCAGAGCCCGTTCTGAGTGGCCAGTGTCTGTGCAGCACTGGTGGCAAATATTTAGCATCTCTGTTCAAACAGCAGAGGTCCTGAGAATGATGTCAGAACGAGAACTATAGATGTTTCTACTATTTAAGAAGTCAGCCGCTCAACTGCTATAACAGTATGCATAGGAGACGGTTAAGAAAAGAACCATAGAAGACAAAGCTTCTGGTGACTCTGCTGCCTCAGACACTACTTCCTGTTTCTCAGAATAAGTAAAATGGGGACAAGAGACCTAAAAATGATATCTGGAAATCCCTCACACACCGGAGGACTAGACAGACAGGTGCAAAATATGAATAAGAACAAGAACCACTAGTTTCTAGTGAGTGGGATGGATACCTGTATATACCAAGTCATAGGAGTTCTTCAAGGATCAAAGCCCATCTGTTTCTTAGACTTAACCTCATTAATGTAGTCCTAAGTGTCCTTAAATAAGAATCTTCATCCCCTCTCTATCTCCTGTCTGGCCAGTGGGCTAGAGTAACATCCTGTGGCTCTTTTCTTTCAGGCTTGGAAAGTTCAAGTTGCCCTGGTGAAGTGTGAATTAAATAAAAAGGAAGATTTAGGAACACAGGAAGAGTTTTCCCTTAAAACTAGTGAACACCTGGTCACTCTACCATTATGTACTGTGAACTGTATCTATTTTTGCTCAAGATGGGTATGCTGATTGAGTATGGAGGTCAAATGACATTGTCTCACTACTAATTGCTGTTTTAGTAAGATGAAATGAGTGATCCACTACTGTGTGACCGTGTGCGTGTGCGTGTGCGTGTGTGTGTGTGTGTGTATGAATATGAGTGAAAACAAACTTTCTATTCCTTTAGCAGCATATCGCTGGTATACACACAGTCCATCTAAGTTAATTGAGGACTGGTGAAGACTAGTGGGCATTGTGTCTCCTTCTCTAGGTTTCAGAAGCTGGATCAGAACTATTGCAGTAACATTGGCTTTAACTGTTTCTCTTACTCTCCTGTTCATTCGTATCTCTCCCGATGGTTAAGAATTTACTCTACATAAAGCTGTCTAGCAGAGGCGTGTGTCACTGGTCTCAAGTCTAATGAAAGCCACAATATAATGAAAACCAAAGTCTAGAGATGTCAGTCAAGAATACCACAAGGGCAGTGCCACTGTGAAACGAGCAGTGTGAGCTGTTGTGGCCAGACTGCATGTTAAAATCAGAGTGTACATGTTTCAAAGGACTGTACTCCTGGGCACTCCTTCTCGAAACTCAAGAATCCCACATACTTAGACTCCTTTGTCAACGGTTTTTAAATTCATGATATATCTTTAAAAAATAAAAAAAGGAGCTGTGGAGCCCAATCCCACAAGTCCTGGACCTAAGGCTCAGGAATCACTGTGGAAGAGGGAACTGGAAGACTGTAAGAGCCAGAGGGTTAGGCGTGTGCTGTGAGACTGTGCCTCCTGACACTCAAGTCACACTCTTAAGTCTCACCTACGTGACTGCCTAAACATGAGCTGGACATGGATGGCACCAATAGACACAAAAAGTGAGTGGGAAAGACCACGAAGCACCACCCCTACACAACAAAGGCTCCCTATCCCTACACAAAGGCTCCAGGCAAATAAGACATGCTGAGGGCGGGAGACACAGTCTTCCTCCAAGACAAGCACACTGATGAGTTAATCCAGTACCAAATGGGCAGTCCTGAAGACATACACTCAAGTAACATTATACAGACGGAGCAGTTGTGTTTATGTATTTTGGAATATATATGTATATGCATGTAGGTGGGCAACAACAATTAATGACAAAAGAGGCCATGAGTTTGAAAGAAAACAAGGGGGGGGGGAGTATATGAAAGGGACGGGAGGGAGGATAGGGAAGGAAGAAATGATGTAATTATATATTCTCAAAAATAAAAATAATTTTTTAAAAAGAAAAAGACTCACAGAAGAAAGGTTCATGGGATATTACTAGAGATTAAGCAAATGCTAACAAGAGTCAGATGCCGGATGTAATTCCCCAACTCCCAGGTATTCATCAAATGCCCAGAAGTATGTCGTTCACGGTCAAAAGTTGGCATTCCTATCTGCTCACACTCTGCCGCAATTATCATGTCACAGATTATATCTGCGAACAGATAAGTATTGTTCCTTATTATTTTGCATATCAGGCTCATTTTTGCTCCCCACCTATCAAATTTGCTTATAAGAAAATAAGAGTACAGGTGTTAATATTTTACATACAATTCAGACTTGCTGAAAAAGCATGCTGCCTCCAGTGCAAGTGACTTATAAAGCAGTGTTGGGGTGGGGCTGTGTTGGGGTGGGGCTTCAGGTGTGGGAGGTTGATTGTTCAGGGCCTTGAATACAGGCAAGTACTGTCTCACTGAGCCATGGCCCTGGGCCTGCTACTAAACTTTTTAATATCTCAAATTTTAAAAGGGAACAGAACTTAGAATCTGATTTTGTGATCCAATGACCAGGCTGAATGAAGCAGTATCAGACTGTCCCGGCACATAGTAAAAAAAGTTTTAAAAAACTAAAAGAAATATGGCCAAAGAAACGAAGAGACTGTAAAGTTCAATTAATACTGGAAAGTGTTTTGGCTCCACAAGTTATGTCTTTCCATGAATGCATAGAGCAGGACATGCGCAGTTCTTGGCTTAGAGTAGAACTTGGGCTCCCTGAAGAAGTATATCAGCACAAACATTTGGTAGTATGCAACGTGTCTCCATTCCACACATAGACCCCCAAACACGGCTTCATGTATCCCAGGTCTCAGACTCCCTGTGTAGCTAAGAGTGGCTTTCAATTGCTGACTCTTTCCTCTATCACTAAAATGCTGAGCTGATAGACAAGCACCAGCACACCCACTGCTGTTTGGCTCAGAATTAAGTTCCTTTATTTCCTAAGCTCTTAAAGACTAACACATTTAAACAAGTATAGATAATGGCCATTCTGACCCCCCAGAGTTACTACTATTTTGTATTTTTCCCATTTATTTCTAACCCTTTTCTTGGATGTAGATTTTATCACCTACTGCTTTCTGGAAGCTCTTGGCTTTTAGAAACAAATACATCCCTACACAAAACAGTGGACCAAGCATCAGATTCACAACTAAGAGGCAGCAAACAAGGAAGATGGCATGCAACAGGATGCCAAATCAGACGGAGTCATCATGGGCAGAGTTCAAGGTTCCTATGCAACTCAACTTTGATGCTCAGTGTGATTCCAGCATGCAACCCATGGGGGACCGTCACTGGGCCACAGCAGGACTACCACATGCTAGCTAGCTTTACTTTTAACAAAAGATTTTCTTGGTGACCTCAGTCATTTCCATAAATTTCCTATGAAATTTGCTTCATCAGAAAAAGGAGGAGAAGGATACTATCTTCCTTCTTAGTAGGGAAGCAGGCTAGCAATGAATGCAAAGGCTATGGAACAGAATTAAGAACGGGGTATCACAATACTTACTTTAACTTACCATTTTCTTTATTATAAGAGGTCAAAACTTGCTTAGAAAAAAAGTGAGGAATTTTGCCAGATCTCTCCTTCATGCCTTTAAGGTCTGTGCCGTCTACTTCGTTTTGTATGTGTGAGTGCCTGCATTTATGTATGTGCACGACATGTGTGCCTGCTGCCTAAGGAGATCCGTCAGATCCCTGGAACCAGCATTCCAAGTGGCTCTGAGTCACCTGCTGTGAGCACTCAGAACCAAACTCAGGCCATCTGCAGAGCACCCCGTGTTCTCTCGTCACCGCTGAGACATTTCTCCATCCCCCATTTATTTCTTAAAACGACCCACTAATGCATGGCTATGATTATTATTTCACACAAGGCAAAACTGAGTTTCATGGAGTCTAAACTGAAATATAATTACACAAAGCAAAATAATTACGAAAAAAATGCTTCACATTGCATGTGAAAACCCATTTTGAGTACCCACAGGTGAGTTAAGATTCTATTATACTTTAGATTTTAAACTTAATTCAAATTTTTCAGCTCATGTTTTGTGTGATATTTTCTATGGACTAGAACTCTACAAAACATTTTGATAATTTCCTTATCTGGTGGCTGGTCTCACTTGACTCACAAGCTAGAACGGCGGGACTTCTGAGAAAATGCCTCCATAAGATCTGGCTGCAATGTATTTTCTTAATTAGTTATTGATGAGGGAAGGGTCAGCCCATTGTGGGTGGTGCCATGCCTGGGCTGGTGGTTCTGGGTGATATAAGAAAGCAGGCTGGGCAAGCCACAAGAAGCAAGCCAGTAAGCAGCATGCCTCTACAGACTGACTCTGCATCCGCTCCTGCCTTCAGGTTCCTGCCCTGTTTGAGTTCCTGTCCTGACTTCCTTTGATGGTGAACAGCAATATGGAAGTCTAAGCCAAATAAACCCTTTCCTCTCCAACTTGCTTTGTGGTCACAGTGTTATTTCACAGCAACAGAAGCTAAGACACCTTATACCACAATAACTACTAAACCACTGAGAATCTAGTAGTTTCGTGAAGGCTTCAAACAATAAATGTGTCATATCCTATTTACTTGATCATTCTTATGTCTTCTCTTCCTTAGTCCCCCACGGCATCCAAATTTCCAGTGACCTTTTTGGTATCTATCTGTCCTCAATGAAACTCTTGTCTCTCTGTGGTCTAGTGTTTGTGGGACTCTCAAATTCATGCTAAAATTCAATC